GTCTTGTCTCGATCCAGGCCAACAGTCGAACACGGTTGACTATTCTGCTCTGTTCATTGACACGATAAACCTCCAAGAAGATGACACCCAGCTGGTTTTGATGTACAGGAAAGCTTATCGTGCCGTGTGATGTGTTCGATATATGGTGCTTGATTTACTAATATATGGGCCAGTCGGTCCTTGATGGATGATATAGTCAGCATCATTGTACACAGAAATGTTCTGAGATATAACGTCGGTCGGCTTTATACTAAGTGCCAAACAACATAAAATGTGACTAGAAAGCTCAACTGTTGGAATGGAAAAGACGCTCATCAATACAACCGAACGTTTCGACCAAAGTCTTTATCAACGGAATACTAAATACAACACAAACTGACTAGAAAACTCAACATGCATGACATTAAAGTTTCAAAACAGCCAAGGTCAACACAAAACGAGGAAATAAATAATGGGGGGGGGGGAAATACGGAAATGAAGGACTGTATTACGAAACGAAATAAGAAGGAAATGGTTGTTCGTCCATTTCTGGACTGCAGTCCTGTTTCACATCCTGAGTGTTGCGTGTGCATCCATTTGACAGATCTGACTTATTTGTGTGCAAACTGTTGGTTCCTTGCCTCTCAGGTAAATGCACTCAGACTTCGAAAGAAAATGACTACATAATTTATGACTTAGAAATAGTAAATTAAATTCATATATAATTTTTTTTTTAAACGACAACATGTTTCAAAAAAAAAGCCCAAAAAGGCGACTTCTGAAGCAAAAATTAAAAAAAAAAAAAAAAACCTGGTCTTTTTACGGGAACACTTTCAAACAAAATGTTCTTTTATTGTATAGCAGCATTCTTTGAGTCACGGTAAATATGAAAGGCTGAAATGGGGAACAGGACGTGTAGACGACAGCGCTTCTGTAAGAAGTGATTCAAAAACGGGACAATTATCGTTAACCAATGTAAACCATTTATGGAGTTGTTTGAGTTGAGTTGAGTCAAGAATTGACATGACAGCACCCGGGTCATTCCCATGCATAGTCCGACCTCATCTTCAGCAACCAGCGCAGAGTTCCAATACTAACGGTACCGGTCACAATCTGGTTATATGTCTGTCTTGCCTTTCCTCTGTAGTGAGCTGTCCAGACCCTCTGGTTACACCCAGAGGCCTCATTCTCTCCAGGCCATAATAATCATCTATATCTACCAACTCCGTTGCTTGTTCCCAAAGGTCCTTGACCACATCTGCCTTGTCATGTATCAGTTCACCACCCAGCCAATATGTCTGCCTTTTCATTACCACACCGGCATTGCCTGGAGAAAAGATCGCAATGTAGCCATGTATGAAGTAAACTAGAACTTTATAGTGAGTTGCTTGTATTGACAGAGTAAGGCAGTTAAAATACTACGGCTTACAAAATCACAGCTTCGTGTTAAAAGATGTGCTGTCTGGGCTGATCTTCAAAAATTTGGAATTATTTCCATAACCGTAAACTTGTCAATGCTTGGAGAATGCCTCTTGGCCTTATTTCCTTGGTTATGTCTCAGTAATCTGAGAGTACTGGCTCAAAAACATCCATTAAATAAGCTGGAGCTTGGAGATAGTTTTCAGGTCAAGGTTTGTAATAATAATAGCTCATGACCACAGGTCGACTTTTGTTGTTATCTTTTCTGTAAAGGCTAATCCGGATGAGCCAAAAGAAGTCGTATATGTTGGCTGAATTGCGCAAGTATGGTGGCAATGCTGTAAACAAACACACATACGTCACTCAGACGAATCATGAAGAGGAAAATAGCGTACAACATTTTGGAGCGATCTGTAGGCTAAGGATTTCGGATCACCAATGACTGAAAGGGCAGATTTTTATTTTTTTTTCCCGGAAAAGAAAATTACGTCACTTTGCCGTGGATTGCCAATTATCTACTGACTGAGTGAGAGCTAAGCGTTCTTAACCACTGGACCAGCCACTCATCATTTTTATGTTACCATTTTTCTAAGTACAAGATGATATCTCCCCACCCTTTTTATCATTTTAAAATTGGGAGTCGAAATGTGATTAAAATAATGATTAGTTTGACGTTAGTCTCCCATAAATAGAGATGGTCACTTTTCATTCACAAGTTTGTTGGGCTGGTCGACTTTCATGAAGGTTACGGGTGTGTGCCGCTCTGTTGTTTGGTTTCTGTGATGTCTTGCGTTTACGTTTTCATTCTGAGAAATGGAATGCATGTGACATAGGTTTCAGCACTCTCTAGGGAGTTGGGGGAGGGGGTTGTGTTATAGCCAGTTTCTCCATGCTTTTTTTAGTGTTAAAATCGATGGCGTGCTGAAATATACAACACACCATGTCAATGGCAGTGAGGAACACCCCAGCAACCTTGTGCGAAGGCACGGGGTTCATGAACTACCAGTCAGAAGTGAGCTAGTGTGTATATGGGCGGGTCTGGGGAGACTAACATTACTTTTACCAACACTTTTATTTCCTTGTTTTGCGCTAAAATGTCTTATACATGGAACAATACTATTCGTATCACGAACTTTGGAAAGCTATAGACGAGACAAACTTAACGTACTCTACACTTTCGAAGCGCAACCAACTTACACAGAAAAAAAAAACAAATATCAACAAACTGGTCGATTCAGAGCCCGGCGTTATTACCGTTAAACTTATCTGTCTTATAATACCGTATAAGACGATTGACCTTTCTCCCCGCCCCACCCACTCACCCAATTTTGTTTTAAATTCAGCATTCAAAAAGGAGAAGGGGGGGGGGGGGGCGGAATGTGGCTTACCTATTTATTTCCTTGATTTATGCTGAAAAATAGGCGTCTTCTTTTACAAGAAACTATATGGTACATGTCATTAAACTTTGGATAAACCTAGACGAAACAAGTTTAGCGTACTTTGAAGTTCATATATTGAATCACAGCCAAGAACAAATTTCAACAACCACTTTATATAGACTGTAAACAATTTGAATATTATCTCATTACAGACCGCATGCTCCAGTTACAGATAACAGTATTCTATGAATTGTTATTGATTTCCTGTAGATTTATGGTGTTATTATTTCAGCGTCTGTGGCTTTGGCGTTGCGAACGCGTTTCGTTATGCCGGGGTGCCGGGTTCGATCCCAGATTTTTCTTCTGTTGGTTTTGACAGTGGTGCCGAGACCTGACCTTTAAGATGGCATTGGCAAACTACTGAACCTCAAATGTGCCTAGAAGAACCACAACAACCAAACAATGCTGGGTTGGTTTTGTAACGTCCTGTAAAGAAAACGCAACTAACTGATACTATTATTGTTTAAAAATAGTTTTTTAGAGCATATTCCATCGTTTGTAACTAAGACGTAGATATTGTTGTTATGGTGTTTATTATTATTTTCTACTTTAAAGAAATCTATGATTTTAATAATATATGCCCAGAGTGAGAACAGAAGTGCACACTGTAAGATGGGCCTGTTCATCATCATCATCATCATCATCATCATCATCAATCATCAAGTCCTTTACAGAACGTCGCTCTTTTTATGGCACGCCTGAAAGTATTCATTTCCCTAGTCAGCTTCCCAGCCCTATGTGCTTTTATTTCCAATGAATCTTCAGTGTTCTGTATCCATCTTAGCAGAAGTTCAAGTTATAGCCACTTGAAAAAAAAGTTCTTTCGTTAGTTCTTTTGGTTTTCTGCCCTTCAGTCCCCTTTTAGCATAATCTTTCAAAACTTACTCCAACCTGTCGTAGATCTGTTTCACCTACCACATCCCATCCCCCCATATTATTTCTGGGTGTGCATATATAAACTCTTCTTGTGTTTTTGTTCTATTTATTATGTGCTGGCTGTTAGTTCTGAAGAACAAAAAAAACTTGAAAACTGTTTGGCAATTAAGGCGTGCAGTACCGCTTGATTTTCATGAACTGTTTATTTTTCTTATTAGCTACGCGTCAATCAGTATGTCCTACCAGTTCACTTTGTTTACCTTGCTAGCATAAAGACTTATAGCTCAAATAGTACTACAAGTCAACAAAGTACGAGCCATACAGAGATATTGGCATGGTAAATAAGGCATACATTTTACTGATCCTAAACATCTAAATCTCAGCTACTGGCTCCACTCCCAGTGCAGCAGGTCAGTTGGTGATGTCCGGAGGCAAGCTTAATGAAACACAACTTCTGAATAGAAAACCTAATACGAAACACGAAAGCAACCGAACGTTTCGACTAAAGTTTTTAGCAACAGAGTACTGAAAACACCACAGATTTCTAGTCCCATTCTCTGTTTTATTCAGTTTTCCTGCTGTCAGCTGGATTGCAGCCACTCCAGTGTACGATTTTCAGTGACGCACTTTTTCTAAGAGAAAGGAAGTAAGTAAAGTAAAGATAAGTAAAGATTCCTTTTCCCGATTTTAGGCGCATCGGGCATTTTGAAAGAGCACCCATATTTTTACAAACCAGTCGGTACTTAGGTGGGTAATGTGGTCAGCAATATGCCGAGAAAGGAAGTGGTTATAGCAAACATGGAAGATCCTCCTGATTGTAGAATTTAGTTCATTCACAGGTGTGCGCTGTTTGTTAAGAAAACTAGCCATTGCATTATCTATGGCGCCACGGAGAAGGGTTTAGTTTCTGACGTGGTCTTCTAAGTCGACCCAATGTAAAAATATGTACATGGAAACGGTGTGTGAAGTAAAGGCGGCTGGTGTGTTTCTTGTCGCAACTGAGTTCATACTGGTCTATGCAGATATATGACCAGCACCATATATCTGAAATGGTTCTCATATCCTATTTACGCCCTCTTGCCGTAGTAATATGATCCATAGTGATTGTTTTATCTTTCCACGACACAAAGTGGGAGCGCTACTGGCTACACCCATACCAGATAGCTGCCCAGTAAACAAAGCCACATGAAAATAAATAAATAAAATGAAGGCTGTTGATAGCAACTTTAGCAGTGCCGCCAGTAGATATGTCTGAAATATTGCTTCACAGCAATGAAAACATATCCGTTACGTATACAGCTGTTGGAGAGAGTGGTGTTTGTAGATTGGCATTTTGGAGTTTGGGCCCGAGTGTTGCTGAAGCAAGTCGTAAGGTACTGAAATGTCCGTATGGCAGTAATTAAGAATATCACTAGAAAGACACCTACACTGCTCCTTACTGGCAAACCGCACACGAAGCCGCACGCCATTTTTATTTTCTTCTGTTACTGTAATGAGACTAGATCCACGACCAAGACGGTCTTGGGAGTTCCCACTGTCAGAATTGGATCCGTTGTTGGAGTTGATGTTAGCCTGAAGGCGCGTGTTCCCACAAAGTTTCATCTCGTAGACCGGTTTCTGGTGATGGGCCTGTCCACTGGAGACAGAGAGACAAAGTCCCGGAGTCCTGTAGCTCGGATACCGCCGGTCAAATTGTTCAACGTTTGGACATAGATGTTGTACAATCCCTCGCTTGATGTTCATGTTGAAGCACCAATAAATTAAAGGGTTAACAACGCTTTGTATAAACGTGGTCGTTTCGACAACCGCCATGACGTATTCTGGCACGGATATTTTATAGTTACTATAGACACGGATAAGTGTGGTTACAAAGTACGGAGTCCAGCAAACGATAAATGTAGCAATAATGGCGAAGGTCATTTTTAAGGTTTTAATTTTAGCGCGAGGGAAAGTTGATTTATTTCCTCCTAAACCTGACCTTCTGAATGTGCAGTTGTTGTTCTGTGTGTTCTGGACGACTCGACTAGCCTGAGAGACCACACAGACAATGCTAATGTAACAAAAGGATATCAGAATCATTGGAATCACAAACACATAGCACGTAAGAAAAGAAATGTACAACATTCGCTGCCATTCTGCTGTGTAACCTTTACTCTTACAGTAATGGCCCACCCTTCCGTCTTTCTCCTCGATTACTTCCACGAATATTAACAGCTGTGGGATGGCAAGAATAGATGCAAGGATCCACGAGATGGCGATTAACATTCTTGCCTTCGTTGCAGTACCTCGGTATTTCAATGGTTTGCAGATTGCGAGGTATCTATCAAAACTCATGGACGTCAGTATGAAAGTTGTACTGGCCAGAGTAATACATTGAATATAAGTAAGGATTTTACATAAGGCTGGCCCCAGTACCCATTGGCCAAAGGCAACGAATAGAATCTCTGTGGTCATATTACAAAAACAAACTGAAAGATCCCCAATAGCCAGCTGGACAATGAAGATGTTGACTCGGTTGTTCCGTTTTCTGTGTCGGCTACAAGTCAGTATCAGTATGATTAGCGAGTTTCCAACAAATGAGAAGACCATTCCGAAGATGATAAGTGATACCCGCTGAATTACCTCCGGTTTCCAGATGACGTTATCATCGAGTGTTGTAGAGTTATAAGGTGGCGTGCAGTTAGCCCAAATCGTTGTTGTAGTTGAAGTGTTGAAGCAGTTGGGAAATACAGTTGTGGTGCTGGTCATGATGCTGTGATTCTGTGGCAGTTTGAACAGATCTGTGCTGCTGCTGCTGTCAGATATGTGATGTTATATCCATTCTGAACTAACCAATCTGCGACCTAAGGCCTAACAATTTACTTATGGGCGCAACCAAGCTCTGCTTGTAGAATTTTACCCATTTCGCTAAAGATCTCTTCATGCCTCACCCTAATTTTTTTATAATGCAGAATAATGGATATTACAAATTGTGTTTGTCATTATTTCCACAAAAACACGAAGCAAAATAACAGAATAGTTCAAGTGTCAAAGCTTTCTTTCCGTGTGCCACTGCCTCTCTCACTCTAACTAACTGTTCTAAGTGTTATTGCCTCACTGCACTTGTCTTCGTAAAAAGAAACAAGTTTGTCAATACTATTCAATTATTTGTTAGTCGACTTATATATCGTTTGAACATTCCTTGCTGTTTCAATGTTTCCACCTGTTTATTGTAGAGGATGCCGACTGTCAATGTGCTGATGGAGTAATGAACGTTCAGAGCACCTCGGTACTTTTATATAGTAGATCAAGTTGCACAGTGGTTAGCACTCTTGCCTGCTGACCCAGTGGTAATGTACTCAAATCATTTTTAATGACCTTAAAATCCAAACAGGGTAATATTTAAAACAGAAATTCCACGGAAAGTAAAGGCGATCAGCATGACATTGATTGTATCATGTGGTTCATAACAGTGTGGATTTCAGTTTGCTTGAAGTCGTGGAAGATAGTTGTAATACAACCTGATTTATGAAGATTGCTCAGCTGCCAAGTTGCTTACATTACTACCTCACTAACCCAGTTGAATCCACTTCTCTTGCCAGTCTTCGCTTGGTACCACTGATACTTTATATCACAGCTTTACCGTTGCTGTAAACCCCAATTAATAAAATGGTACAGTACTGATATACACTGAGATACGTAATGGGATATTTCAGTGTAGATATATTCTCCATTTTTAAAAATAATTTCTCACAATAACGATTTGTTTAGTGTACAGATGTGACGTCGCTGTTGTTTCGCTGTTCAGGTATATGATCACTTCTGAGGCGAATGGTCTAAGTAGTTACCAATGTTTCTGTCAGTTCAAAACCTGTGAGAACAGAAACATGAATAGTAGTGAGCAATATGTTATCACTTACAAATGCTAGATAATTATAAATATTGTCCCTGCTGCCTGTGTTTATCTGTTTGTCAGCCTGTTGACCTGCCTGCCCGTGTTTGTCTGTTAGCCTGTAGACTTGCCTGCCCTCGTTTGTTTATCTTTCAGACTGTCGACCTGCCTGCTGTGTTTGTCTGTCTGTCAGCCTGTCGAATTGCCTGCCCTCGTTTGTTTATCTGTCAGCCTGTTGACCTGCCTGTCCGTGTTTGTCTGTCAGTCTGTCCACCTGCTGTCTGTGTTTGTCTGTCAGTCAGTTGGTTGACCAGCCTGCCAGTGTTTGTCTGTCAGCCTGTCGACTTGCCTGCCCTCGTTTGTTTATCTTTCAGCCTGTTGACCTGCCTGACCGTGTTTGTCTGACAGTCTGTCCACCTGCTGCCTGTGTTTGTGTGTCTGTCAGCCTGTCGACTTGCCTGCCCTCGTTTGTTTATCTGTCAGCCAGTCGACCTGCATGTTTGTGTTTGTCTGTCAGTCTGTCGACCTGCCTGTTTGTGTTTGTCTGCCGACCTGCCTGCCCGTGTTTGTCAACCTGTCCACTTGCCTGCTTATGTTTGTCTGGCATTGTTTCCTAATGTCCCAGTGTGGCTTTCAGAGTCCCATAGAGGAAAGAGGGAGGGGGAGGGCTAAATTGACTCAGTACCTCCATGACAAGCCGTATAAGGCGACTGGTTTTGAAAGATTATTTTTTTTTAGTGTATCTGCATCATGATGCTGATGATGGACGTAAAACCAATAATCTACATACACATGATCTAGATCTGTAACCAAAATTCAAGTCCTTGAACAAGTGCAAAGTCGAGAAGTGGATAAAAGAATAGAACTTTTCCGCCAAAAGTGTACAGTCTGTGAACGCCCAGTGGTAGACAAGACGAAGTATATCCCAGCGAGCTGTAAATCAAGTAAGAGACCACTTCAACTCCTTCAAAGCAATAGGTATGTGATGAAGCTCCACTTGTTTGTACCAGATGAATAGGCAGCCTCTCTTTTTGCCCTCTAGAGCATTGCACAAAGCAGCAATTCTGAAACTGTTGTAAGGAACGTCGAGGGGTATTCTTCGATCTCCGGGGATTTCCTTCAGAAATTTAGAAATACTTAAGTCTAAGACGGAAATGGTTGGAGTAACTTTGTTATTGTTGTTGCTGTAATGTTGTTGTTGACTTTTTAAGCTGTCGGATATGAATATGGAAGCTGTCAGATATGAATATGGTGAAAGAATCATTTGGATTGCCAGGAAAGACAACGCAGGCAAATTTAGGATAAATAAAACAACGGATGAGCCAGAAGAAAATAAAATGGTGAACAGAAAAGTAGAATATAGTGTTCTTGAAGACAAGAGCACTGTTTCTTTTTTAAATAACAATGATCCAGATCTTTTCTTTTAACAAGTCCACGAGCGATATTCTGGAGAAACATTATCTTGGCTATCAAAGAAAGGAAAGACCGAACATGGCCTGTATGTGAATCAGCGTACAGAAGACTAAAAGCTTTGCAAGCTGCGTGTCTACTAGAGCATCAAAGTAATTCCCAACAATGATGGAAGATAATTATTAGCACTGAACGCTTGAAACCTCCAGAAACCTAGGGGAAAATATTTGCTTGTTTATCGGATGACTGAAGTGATCATTAACTTCATTACGCTCATTTCTGCAAGTCCTATGAAAGTGAACAACTCGAGTGTAAAATGCTTTAATAATAATAAAAACAAAATCTTTTCTGAATAGAACAACCCACACAAACAGTGAGTGGAAACAGGTCAATAAACACAAACTAGAAAGCTCTTTCTACACCCTTCTATCAAAAAGGCGCACGACGGTTAGCTCACGAAATAACATATGCAGAATCAATACTCGGGTATTTGAGAAACGTAACATGTCTCAGAAAAGATCAGATCAAAATTGTTGGCATTTGTAGACAGACGTGTATGAGAAAATCATAGGATCAGATGCCCAGACGAGATAATAAATTGGGAATTATTGGGGAAGACCTTTTAACATCGGATAACATTCTGGTTCTTCTCCGTCTTGATCAGCATTCCGAGCACTGCAGATATCACCCGTCTTCATTTATCTCTGTGAACGGACTTCTCTTTTTATCTGGTGACTCCAGGTGTTTGTAGGTACTTAAATACTTACTTAGTCGATACTTTTTTTTCTACCCATGGGTAGGTTTTACCTGATAGATCGCAAGATTTCTCTCTGTATTAGCAGTTTTCCATTTGGCTTTGTTCAAATCCAATCCTCTGTCAATTAGAGACGATTGTGTGTCGTCTTACCGACGAATCTTGGGTTGTCCTGGAGGTCTGATACGCTGGCTGGTTGTGTTTGTAGGTTTGATTATATATCATCTTGTCTTGATCTGCCTCGTGGTCTATTTCCTTTCACCCCCCTTTTTTTTGTACGATTTTTTTTCTATCTATTATTTGCTGTTTTATCTATATAGTCTCTAGCTGTATATTAGTCTCTATCATGCCAGATTTTAGAGACGAGGTAATTCAGTTATGATTTTCGTTGTTGCTGATAACATTATAGATGAAGAAAGGAGCATGGATGAAAAAAAAAATACTTTTTAAGAACCACATCGTAACAAAAAACATACGCTGGGCTGCCACGTGCTTGGGGAAACAGACAATGAGATGACGACAATGAAATAACTGAGTTAAAACAGTCCCATTTGTAAATATTTGACCCTGTGTATTCAAATATCTAGGTGGCGTAGTGCGTGCCAATGGAAACATTTTTCGATCTGCAATGCAACAGGACCGACCCAGTTCTAGAACAAATACCACAAACATTGCAGAACAAATACAGGAAATAGACATAAGTGGGGAACTATTCAATAGTCTTTCTCTCTGTGTATTTTCCGGGGCCCTATTGTGGGGAAAACAAGATTAGACCCATTGCTTTCACAACAAGCATGTTATAAGAGTCGACTAATTGGGAGCTTTCATCGAAGTAAGAGTGCATCTGCTTGAGAAGCGAAGAACTAACAATCTGCGTACAGTTAGTTCAGAACTGATAAACGGATGTGCACGCAACACATAGGTTCTTGAATAAAACTAAAGTTCAGAGGTAGACACACATCAAGAAATGTCCGCCGGAGTTTACAGCCAGTGAACGCGAAGAAGAAGAAGAAGAAGAAGAAGAAGAAGAAGAAGAAGAAGAAGAAGAAGAAGAAGAAGAAGAAGAAGAAGAAGAAGAAGAAGAAGAAGAAGAAGAAGAAGAAGAAGAAGAAGAAGAGGAAGAAGAAGAAGAAGAAGAAGAAGAAGAAGAAGAAGAAGAAGAAGAAGAAGAAGAAAAAGAAAAAGAAAAAGAAGAAGAAGAAGAAGAAGAAGAAGAAGAAGAAGAAGAAGAAGAAGAAGAAGAAGAAGAAGAAGAAGAAGAAGAAGAAGAAGGAGGAGGAGGAGGGGGAGGAGGAGGAGGAGGAGGAAGTATGAAGAAGAAAGAAGAAGAAAGAATAAGAAAGAAGAAGAAAGAAGGAAGAAAGAAGGAAGAAAGAAGGAAGAAAGAAGAAGAAAGAAGGAAGAAAGAAGGAAGAAAGAAGGAAGAAAGAAGAAAGAAGGAAGAAGGAAGGAAGAAGGAAGGGAGAAGAAAGAAGGAAGAAGGAGGGAGAAGAAAGAAGGAAGAAGGAGGGAGAAGAAAGAAGGAAGAAGGAGGGAGAAGAAAGAAGGAAGAAGGAGGGAGAAGAAAGAAGGGAGAAGGAGGGAGAAGAAAGAAGGGAGAAGGAGGGAGAAGAAAGAAGGGAGAAGGAGGGAGAAGAAAGAAGGAAGAAGGAGGGAGAAGAAAGAAGGAAGAAGGAGGGAGAAGAAAGAAGGAAGAAGGAGGGAGAAGAAAGAAGGAAGAAGGGGGGAGAAGAAAGAAGGAAGAAGGAGGGAGAAGAAAGAAGGAAGAAGGAGGGAGAAGAAAGAAGGAAGAAGGAGGGAGAAGAAAGAAGGAAGAAGGAGGGAGAAGAAAGAAGGGAGAAGGAGGGAGAAGAAAGAAGGAAGAAGGAGGGAGAAGAAAGAAGGAAGAAGGAGGGAGAAGAAAGAAGGAAGAAGGAGGGAGAAGAAAGAAGGAAGAAGGAGGGAGAAGAAAAAAGGAAGAAGGAGGGAGAAGAAAAAAGGATGATGGAGGAAGAAGGAGAAGAAGAAGAAGAATCCATACACAGTGTGCTGTCGATGTCAGAAATGAACTCACACACACAAAAGTAACAAAAAATTTGAAACAATCTAACAGTTGCACACAACCAACAGTCATTAACATGTTCCTGTGCAGGAAAACAATTCAACAAATTCAAGAAAATCAAGAATTAGGAAACTACACTGGATGAAATATATTTTAAGAAACCACTATCATAGTATAATTTGAGTAGTCAAGGATCTTGCCAGCTGGCGTGGGCAATCATGCCTCTACACAACCTGCTGTCTCCAATAGAATGTGTTTGTTCGTCTAATGATGCAGCCTCCATGCCATGATAAGGGTTGTCAAGAATGCATTCTAGTTATTTTCCTCGATCTCTCTTTCAACAAATCTTTCCAGTGGTCACAAAATGTTCGCACTACTGCCCTAGAGCAAGAGGCAGACCGAGAGTACGATGGATAGACAATATATCAGAGATCCTGAAGCAACACGGACTAACAACAACACGTGCAACACACCTGGCCCAGGATAGAAAACTGCGACTCCCCACTACGCTGTGAGGCAATTGTGGACAAGACAAGACAAGACAAGACAAAATGTTCCAGTTTCGTTCTTACTACATGGCCAAGGAAATGTTATCTTTCTTCGGGTCTAGCCAAATTCAGAACATCTAGTTACTCATTATCTTTGGGTCTAGCCTCATTCAGAACATCTAGTTACTCATTATCTTCGGGTCTAACCTTATTTAGAACATCTAGTTACTCATTATCTTCGGGTCTAGCTTCATTTAGAACATCTAGTTACTCATTATCTTCGGGTCTAGCTTCATTTAGAACATCTAGTTATTTCATTATCTTCGGGTCTAGGCTCATTTAGAACATCTAGTTACTCATTATCTTCGGGTCTAGGCTCATTTAGAACATCTAGTTACTCATTATCTTCGGGTCTATCCTTATTCAGAACATCTAGTTACTCCTTATCTTCGGGTCTAGCCTTATTCAGAACATCTAGTTACTCCTTATCTTCGGGTCTAGCCTTATTCAGAACATCTAGTTACTCATTATCTTTGGGTCTAGACTCATTGTGAACATCTAGTTACTAATTATCTTTGGGTCAAGCCTCATTGTGTACATCTAGTTACTCATTATCTTTGGGTCTAGACTCATTTAGAACATCTAGTTACCCCTGATGGCTGCCCAAGAAATATTAGCACTCTTCTGTAAAACTACATCAACGAGGCCTTAAGAAATTCTTTGGCTTCTATATTGTTCGTCAATGTTTTACCGCTATATGAACAAACGGACCCTTTAAAGGGTCACAAATTGGACACGCAGGCTCGTCTTACATTCGACCCTTCCAAACACACAAATGAGTGCATATAATTTTTTTTTTTCTAGCCTTCAAAGAAATGGATTTCTTGCATAAGTTGTTCATCATTTTACAGAATGAAGTTTTTGCCTGTCCTTTTCTGTTCTTAATCTATGTGATAATCTTCCATCGTGCTGTGGTAGATCTTCTCTGATATTATCTTTCCATCTTGTTCTTGTTCTACATTGTACTCTACTTCCTTCGCCTCTTTAATGTATTTGCCATGTTTGGTATCGCATCATAAAGCATTTTATCTAAGTGTTCAAAGCATTTAATTTACTGTCTTTCCTACATTAGAATTGGTTATGTGACGACTTTATCTCCTATGATCTCATTCCTGATTTTGTCTTTCCTGTCACTAAGAAGTTGGATTAAAGGAGTCACTGATACACCGAGACTCCAAAAATTGACAGCATACCAGGCAACTGAGTGTGCGTTACCTCAAAAACCGACCATCTGTTAGCCTGCGACCCCTAGTGGCACAAAGCAGAAACAGAAATGGTATCCTTTTTTTTCTTTAGGTATGGACTGAAGTTGGTGAGAAAAAAAAACATTTCCTATGTGCCAGTTTAAAGTGAGATTTGACGAATTGTAGATAGCACACTTACCATCTAGCAGATTAGTCTGGGTTGATACCGAAGTTTAGCTCTTATTATACTTATGCCATACAATTCTTGCTTACCTGCAGACCCGAAAGTTAATGGTTCAAATCCTCATTAGGGTGATGTTTAATTATAGAGTAGACTTCGGCTTTCAGGTCAACCAAGCCTAAAAGGGGTATCATTTAATGTACCGCAAATTGGGGCGACCGTCGTGGTATTGACCGTATTATCCGTAGAGCGCCGAGTGGTCTTAAAAAAAATAGAGGTATAGCACTATATGGCAAGCGACACGCTGAACGTCATGATAGCCTGCAGAGAACTGAGACAGAGAATAGTTACCACAAGACGAGGCAGAGGCAGAACACCACGAAGACCATACGAGACGATGAAAATGTTTTGATTATGAAAGTACGTAGGATGGTTGGATAGAGAAATATAGACTTTCATACGTGTTGTAAGGTTACCGCCGCCCTGTAAAGGACCTGCTGACTGATGATATATGCCGCATGCGCCAGTTATGTAATAAGGCACCTTAACTGACCTACTTTACACACAATTCTGGCGTCGACACAGCACTGTTAAATTATTGCTTCCTTTGCGAAAATGTACAAGGGAAAGCATTTGTCACGTCACTTCTTAATTCCCATAACCTCTGAATATGAAGTGCAGTGAGACAACACCAGTAAAGCAGTTAGTAAAAGTCATTGGAACACAATTAACGGTACGCTAAAAAGAAACCTACAATTGCGTTTAATCAACGTCAAAGTGTTTTTTGGCATGCGCACACGCAAGAGCTGAAGTACCGGAGGGAAAGAAGGCAGCGACGGCATAAACCGGGAAAAAAAGTGGCATTCAGCTCCAAAAACGGAACTGGTAAAACCACTTCATCAAACAGCACGCGCGGATTTAGCAAGAAAGACAGTCAAGGCTGGCTGGGCATGTTGTTGAGTGATAGTTGTGGGGCCTCGTGAAGATTTTTTTTTTTTTTAAATTGAGCGTAGTTTCCGTTTTTTATTTTTTTTTTTTTCATTTTGGTAGTATCACAAGTAGTAATAATCCCTTCAGATAGAACCTCCTCTTATCTGTCAGCCACGGCTATTCCTAGCTTCAGATCTACACTAGTAATCTTCCATAAATAAAAGATTATATGGGATTTCAGAATTTAGCAATGGTTATATTAAAACCAGTAATGTGGCTAAGTCGATGCGAACGCTTCGTAATGCCCGGATGTCGGGTTCGATCCCAGCTGCGGGCCATGCGCCTTGCGTTGGTTTCCACAGTGGTATCAAGAAAGCCGACCGTCCAGGAAGCAATGACAAACTACTGGACGTAAATTTGCCTAGAAAAACCACACAATAGCCAGGGGCTGTTAGGGTTGGTTCTACAACGTCCAGTGAAGGATACGCAACTAACCTAACCTAACCTAACCTATATTAAAACCATGCGGGAGCCACACGTCGTTACTTCAGCCAGAACAGAATGGAAGTTGTTAGCCTAAAAAAAAAAAAAACACTTGGAGACCTACTGAGGTGGAGATCGGAGCACTTATGGTCATGTCCGATGTGCGATAAAGATTATCTCAAAAAATTAACTACAGCACGGTTAATATCGCGCCGGCTGCCTTTACTTCCCAGGACTTTACATAATACCATTTTCAGGCTGGGTCCACCTGAGAGCCAAGGTCATTTCTGCAACAACAACAAAATCCGACTGGATACGTTTTCACCCTACGCCCTTTGCGCGCATGCGCCGTTGAATCGCTAAACTAACGCAACTCGCTGTTAATTATGAGTGCACTAATTATGTCAGTTATAAGTCTTAGCATCTTTAACAGGGGACGTTGGGTGAATCTGGAATGATCTTTAGAACTGGCATCCAGAACTGACTCATCGGGTCATTGATAAGATAGCAGTGATGGAAAAAGAAATAGAAAGCATACACCAAAAGAGTAGATGACCGGAGAGCACAAACTAGACCAGGAACGAGATGAAAAGATTACGTCAGAGAAACTACAATAGCATGATGTGTCTATTTTAAAGGCGACAAGAAGAGCAAGAAACAGAACATTATATCACCTTTGACAACCGATGCGGTAAAAGGACGAAGTAAGGAAGAAGAAAAAGAAGAAAGAAAAGAAAGGCGAGGATTGACAATCAGTCTGTCTTATTGGTAGTTAAGCTCTTCTGTGGTGATGTGTTAGTCTTAACATACTTTACGAGGACTCTTCCAAAGTAAACCTCCGATTGGCTGGTAAAAACCCTGTGCTACACAGAGCTACACAGAGCTACACAGAGCTGCACAGTTTATTGCTTGAATCATTCAGTTGCCTTTTGGCTTGTTGTACACCACCCTACAGTCGTATTTGTTCGGTGGTTCACGAATCGTAAACAAGTAAACGTGGAGACTGTTATTGTTTTTCCCGCCAGTTGTGAAATTCGTCCTCGGGCAGAAGTTGAAAGTTCCGCCGGGATTCATCGTCGATTGTAGAGTATGAAGAGTGACGATGCTATGAGTAACAGTTCTGTGAGGGAATTTTTTTAAAATGTTGCATATCTTTTACAGGGACGTTGCAGAACCAACACCATCATTTTTTTTTTTTTTTTTTTTGCTGTTTAGGTTCAGAAGTTTGCCATTGCCTTGAACTGTCAGCTCTCGGTATCACTGTCGAAACCAACGCAAAACAAATCGTCCCAGGCTGGGATCGAACCCGGCACACTGGCATTACGAAGAGTGTTCGCAACGCCTAAGCCACAAACGCCGACCTGTGGGGGATTAGTCCAGGAGATTCCGACACGGGCGTAAATATGTGCATGGTGAAGGTGGACAAGGACTACATGTATGTGTGGCAGATGAGCTCATTCTAAAAGTGGACCAAGTAATAGTGGAAAAGAACTGTTTCACAATTTTATATCTTTCTACAGAATTTCTACACATTTTCTGTGACCAATCTGTATCAAATTGTCACAAAAAAAGCTAGGTTACCTCAAACTCTGGTCACCGTGGGTACCAAACCAACTGACTGACGTTCACAAATGTCAGAGAACTGAGCCCAGCTTTGACGTTTCTACTGCGCTGCTGGATAATGTGGATGCATTTCTCGACAGAATGGGAACTGGGGACGAGACATGAGTTCATTTGGTGAATAAAGACACGAAAGAACACTCAAGAGAGTTTATGCACAGTCATTATCTAAATAAAAGCGCACATAAATTGGTTACAG